GTCTTCGGCAATATTATTTCAACCTTCAAGCGAGTTACCAGAAGGAAATTGTTGGTCCTCTTTCGAAAAAATTTAAAACGAGACAATACACATTCCAAGGAAAAAATTAGTCGAGACGTTAAATTTAAAAGACTCATAACTACGTTAAAATAAAAAGTATCAGTCGATTTTGCTCTTAGCCAATGTTCGATTATTTAAATATATTTTGACATCTGTTATAAGTATTCAAATTTTTTACCCTCTATCCAATATTGTCGGACCTAAACAAATATAATATAAATATTGCGACGTTCCACGCTTGGACTATATTAACTACTTCCTTCAATTTATATGAGATATGTGCGAATTTTGGGAAAATGTAAAAAAACATGCGTGAGGTAACAGACATAGCGGACCGAAGTATTACATTTTCATACTTCATCTAATACAGATAAAAATATTGGTATGCGCAAAATTTGAAGGAAATCGAACTTTTATGCGAAATCATAAATTTCCATAAATTACATATTCATAACAGATTTCTAGCTAAGAAATATATTTAGATATAGAAAGTTGTAAAGAATCGTTGAATTGTTTCGCAAGTTATGACAGATAAAAGTATTGCAAATTGTAATTCTTTGTGGGTTAGGTACAAGAAGAGGTTTCGCAGATATATATCATCTTCACAACAGATCTTGTGTGAAACACAAAACTGTTTGTGTTTTTTGATATTAGAAAAGAGTTGGATGCTTATTACGCTTTCTTTGAGCGTCACGTTTTTCAAAAATCTTGAATCCTATGCGGGGGAGGTACCATAAGAAATGGTCCGATCATCATCATCTTTATAACAGATCTTGTATTGATGGAAATATTGAGATGTACCACGTCTGAATGGAATCGGATTTAAATTTCACGTTTTATGAACTTCATGGATACTCAAAATTTTAACCCTTTGTGGAGGAGGTGCCAGAAGGAGTGGACCGATATATCCCAATTTCACACCAGACCTTGGCTTAACTAAAATATTGTGATGTGTATAATTTGAAGAGTACCGGATGCATATTTCGGATTTTATGATCATTTTGTTTGTTCAAAACTTTGACCCTTTGTGGGGGAGGTACCAGAAGGAATGGTCCGATCTATAACATCTTTATAACAAATCCTGTGTTGAAAGAATTATTCAGATATGTTTTATGAGTTTCATGAATATTCAAAATGTTGACCCTTTGTGGGGGAGGTACCAGAAGGAGTGGACCGATATATTCTATCTTCACACCAGACCTTGAGTTAATAAAAATACTGGAATGTGTGAAATTTGAAGATAATTGGACTCTTACATCACATTTTATAAGAGTTGTTATTATTCAAAATTTTGACCCTTTGTGGGGCAGGTACTTGATGGAGTGGGTTGATATTTGAAAAGTTGGAGCAAATTATCGTTTCTCTTTCTATGCATAAAATATGTTTTTTGAAAATGTCGACCTTTTGCGGGAGTGTGTGGACCAGAAGGAGTGGACCGATATTGTCCATCTCCGCCCTAGATCTAAGTTTGACAAAAATCTTTCGATGTACCAAGTTTGATCCAAATCGGATACTCCCTTCGAGAGTTATCGTGTGCACCAACCGACAAACAGACGGACGGACATCGCTAGACCAAATCCAAATGTCCTGAAACAGATTTGGTTTAAAGAGACCTATGGTCTAAAACCGTTATCTAGGTACGTTTTGACAGTATCAAACGATATATACCCTCTTTAGCTATATGGGTGAGGGTATAACAACGTTATTTAAACTGGATGGTAACAAGTTATAAATTATGTGTCAAAGTCTACTATAGGTCCCAGAAAATGTCAAAAGTCTAAACCTTACTTAAACCTCAGGAATTCATAAATATGAAGGACACAATTTAGGGATAAAGCCATATGTTAAGACAGTTTATGCAAAATCCTCCTACAGAGCATAATTTTAGGGAAATTACGTCAGTCGGTTTAGCCGACAGATGTACAGGGTGAGATGAAAAAACTGCTCCAACTTCAGACTACTGTCATTTCTAAGCCACTCGTCCGACAGCTGTTACAACACTCCAGCATTTAAATGTGAATAAATCTTTTGTGTCTCGTACTGGTAGCGTAGCCCGACGTCAAGGAAGTGGACGAAAGAAAAGAGCAAAATCAGCAGAAATGGTTCAAAAAGTAAAGAAGCGACTTGATCGAAACCCGCGTCGCAGTGGCCGCAATATCGCAAAATATTCCATTCGGCAAATAATGAAAAATGAGCTCAGAGTAAAGCCATTGAAATTCCAAAAAGTGCAAGATCTTAAAACGCAACTGAAGGAAAATAGACTCAAAATAAGTAAAGAGTTGCTTCGCTTGGCCGAAAGTGGTGAACTGCCGAATTTGGTTTTCTCCGATGAGAAAACATTCGTTGCCAGCAGTTTGTAAACAAACAAAATGATCGTGTTTACTTGCCGTAAAGGTCAGCTGAAAATGTGCACCTTCGGTTGGCCACCAGAACTCAAGCGCCGATCATGGTGATGGTGTGGGCCCTCATAACAGCCGATGGTCGCTCCCCGCTCGTATTAATCGACCTTGGCATCAAAATAAATGCAGAATATTAGAAAAATATTTTATTCTAAAATATTCTGGCCACAGACCTTGGACATTCAAACAGGACTTAGCACGCGCCACCCAAGAACGGTTACAAAATGACGTTTCTAGCTTCATTTCCAGCGCACAATGACCACCAAAATCTACGGATACCAATCCGTTGGACTATTGTGTCTGGAGTATTTTGGAAATCAAGGTTGGCACTAAAAAATATCACCTTAAGCAAGCGCTTCGCCGGGAATGGGCCAAAATACCGCAGAGCAGCATTCGGGTAGCGTGTGACGATTTCATTTGCCGTTTGAAGGTAATAATTCGTGGCAAAGGTGACCAATTCGAACAAATCTAAACTTATCCTAAAATTTGATGCTGTTTTCGGGTTTTTATACCATACACCACAAGGTGGTCAGGTGGTGATCTGCATAGAATCACTTACTGAGTTGATTTATGCATGTCAGTCCGTCTGTCCGTCAGTCCGTCCGTCCGTCTGTCCATGTATTTTTGTGAACAAAATGCAGGTCGCATTTATTATCCGATTGAGATGAAATTTTCCAAACAACATTTGTTTGGCCCAAGGACGAACCCTATTGAAATTGGAGATAATCGGTAAAAATTTAGATATAGCTCCCATATATATCTTCGTCCGATTTGCTTTTTATTGTGCACCAAACGTGTAATATCAGCCCGAATAGTATGGAATTTTGCACATGCAACCAAATTAGGCCTAAAAATAAGCATGCCAAATTTGATGGAAATCGGTTCAGATATGGCTATAGCTCCCATATATATTGTTCATCCGATTTGTTATTTTTGTCCTTCGCAGCCGTAATATACACTCTGTAACAACAATATTTGGGCAAATATATCAAATGCAGCTCAGAAATACCTTTGCTAAATTTTATCGAGATCGGTTCAGATTTGGATATATTCGTCCGATTTGCCTTTTATTGTGCACCAAACGTTTAATATTTGCCCAAATGGGATGGAATTTGGCACATACGACCGAATTTAGTCTAGAAGGTAGTATGCAAAATTTGGTGAAGATCGGTTCAGATTTAGCTATAGCTCCCATATATATTGTTCATCCGATTTGTTGTATTTGTTACCCACAGCCGTAATATGCACTCCGTAACAACGATATTCAGGGAAATATATCAAATACAGCTCAGAAATATCTTTGCCAAATTTTATCGAGATCGGTTCAGATTTGGATATAGTTCCCATACATATTTATATCCGATTTCAAATTAATTTCGCACCAAATGGGCAATACAAGTCCGAATTTAAAAGATACAAATGTTTCGGCATATTTAGTTCTTTGAATTTTAAATTATAATTATAATCATATGATTGAATTCTCCCATAAAAACTTTTAATTATTAAGTGGAGCTCAACTAAATTAGCAAAGTGGTGTAGGGTATCATAAAATCGGCCCCGCCCACACTTTACTGGTTTTGCTTTTATTCAGTAAAATTAAAAGAAAAAATTAATGTTTTTCCTTTTTATTCGACCTTTTTATATTTAAATGAAACAAGTGTTTTTTCGAGCTTGAGGTCCTCAAGAAAATTTAAAAATCATGGGGTTTGACTTTGTTGCAGTTTTTTTATCTCACCATGTATATTTACAAGACACTATATACCTAAAACGTAAAAATAAGCATTTTCCGCCCTATTTTGGTTACAACCCGGTGCAGACTTTCAAAAGGCCGTTACATATGTATCATATTAAATGTAATTCTGAAAAATAAATGTTGCACAGCATGCATTCCATGCATCAGGATCCAGTCACACTTTGAAAACAAGAGGTTCTGTGCTTTTGCAGTTTGGGTTTTCAGGGAACGTGAAATATCTTTTACAAAAAATACCCTTACAGAAATATGCTCTAAAATTTTTTTTTCAGGTCTTCAGAAAGTAGAAAACCTTAATACTACATTGAGCCCATGTATTGAAAATGTATACATCGGTCCTTTATGAATATACAAATATACTCCGAAAAAGGTAAGTCTACACTTTATTTTGAATTCTATAAAGATACTATGTTTTAAATGCTATGATTATTTAACTCTTTAACAATACTTTTCATATTTCTTTCAAATCTTAAAACATTCAGTCAATATCTTCAACGTAAGAACGTTATCTTATGTCGATTTTTAAGAATTTACACACAACCAAACACATCTACATATATATTCGTGTGAAGTAAGCAGCAGCTGCAACAATATTCCATTAAGGATTTGCAAAAATTACAACACGTTTAACGGTTATATGAAAACGAAAGAGCATTTTCATATATTTTTTCAGGTATTGCAATGTGTCGGTGTGAACACATTTATGTTTTTTACGTTACTAAATTTGTTGTTTTGCCTAAAATATTAAATATGCATGTATGTATGTATGTATCTTTGAAGGGGACTCCTACCGAATGGGTGTAGTGAATTTCGGCTAACTCACAACAACATTGATAACGCAGTATAGCACGACCACTTTTTCTGAAAGGTATTTTTGAAAATAAAACAAAAAAAGAAAAATTATTTTTGTTGGTTTTTTTGTTTTTTTGATTCAAAAAATTCCAAATAATTTCATTCAATTGGATTGAATTGAAATAAAAGTAATCTATATGTATAGAAAAATCACAGAAAAAAGAAACAAAATTTTATATATGTATATGTAATATGTTACTTTTAAAAATACAAATTTCGAGAGAAAAATACAAAAAATTTAATTAAAGAATACTTTATTTAGCATAATTTATTTACTTTTAGCAATTTTTTGTTTACTTAATGATTAAAAAATTATAATGAAATATCAAGGGAAGTGTTAATAATCAAAATGTTACAAGTGATAATTACACACACACACAGTGACAGAGTTACACACATACAAACATGAACTCACCTTAATAGACGTGTTATATAGTCCGGCCAATTCTCAGGAAACATTACCAAAAAGAAACCCACCGCAATCAAAATGACACCGGCCAATTTCATGCCAGCAAATGTAGCACCGTACAGGACAACATCCAAAGCTGAAAGACAACAAGAAGAACAAGAACCAACCACACCAACAATGGCAACAATAAATTGATAGCAAATTAATTCAATAATCAACACTTTGTCTCTCATTCCTGTTTTTTTTTTGTTGTTCTCCAAAGGATAGAAATATCGCTTCGCCTCCCAAGAGACGATAAATCGAATAAATGATTGCAATTACAAGAAGCAGATGAAGAAGAACAACAGCAACAACAAAAAAGCGTTCTAATTACCTCCGGACACAGGAACAGCAGTAATTAAACCTAATGTAACGAACATATTGTAGGTAACAGCCGAGCTAAATTGCATTAGAATGTGAAACACTGCAGGAGAAGAAGAAGAAGAAAAAGAAAAGTGTGGGGGAGAGAATACAGAAAAAAGGTTAATTATTATTTAAGTATTTTTAAATAGACAGGAGTAAATTGAAATGATATCTTGGATATATCTTTCTTATTTGTTTATTTTTATCAGTCCGTGTGTAACTCCTCGATATAATTAATTGGCACACCATTAAACCTTTTTTTCCATATGTATTCATATATGTAATACAAGTTAACTTCCGATGGAAATGGTTATTATTATTATAAATGGTTACACAAAGTCGGTCGTTTCGTTTGTAACTCGTGGAACTTATCATTTACTCTTCATCAGCGTAAAAAAAAGATGATTTACACATGTCTTTCTAACGCTTAAAGCTTAAAACACTTAAATATCTAAAGTTTACATCGTATATACTATATTCCGCAATATTTCTGATAACAATACAGGGTGAAATAAAAAAAACTGCAACAAAGACAAACGACATAATTTTTACATTTTTATACCCTCCACCTTGGAAAGGAGGGTATATTAACTTTGTCATTCCGTTTGTAACATCCTTAATTATTCGTCGTAGACCCCATAAAGTATATATATTCATAATCAGCATACAATTCTAAGTCGATTTAGCGATGTCCGTCTGGTATTGAAAATGAGATGATTGGTATTGAAAATGAGATATATCGGTCCACGTTCTGATATAATCCCCATATAACGATACCACCCGATATTCGGTATTTTGATGATTTATGCCACATTTTTTCACGGTTTTGTCTGAAAATTGGTATTTGTAGGTCATAACGGGTCCCTGTACGTGTGGCAAAACAATGCATGTATAGGTCCACGTTTTGATATAGCCCCCATATAAAGGTACCTCTCGATATTCGATATTTTTATTATTTTTGTCACATTTTTTCACGGATTTGTCTAAAAATTGGTATTTGTTGGTCATAATGGGTTCCAGCTCCGGTAGAGAAACATTGCATGTATGGGTCCACGATTTGGTATAGTCCCTATATACCGGTACCTCCCTATATTCGGTATTTTGATGGTTTTTGCCACATTTTTGCACTGATTTGTCTAAAAATTGGTATTTGTGGGACGTAATGGGTCCTAGTTCGTGTGGCGAAACATTGTATGTATAGGTCCACATTTTGGTATAGTCCCCATATAATGGTACCTCCCGATATTCGGTATTTTGATGATTTTTGACACATTTTTTTCACGAATTTCTCTGAAAATTGGTAGTTGTAGATCATAATGGGTCCCAGTTCGTGTGGCGAGTCATTGTAATTATAGGTCCACATTTTGGTTTAGTCCCCATATAACGGTACCTCCCAATATTCGGTATTTTGATGATTTTTGACACATTTTTTCACGAATTTCTCTGAAAATTGGTAGTTGTAGATCATAATGGGTCCCAGTTCGTGTGGCGAGTCATTGTAATTGTAGGTCCACGTTTTGGTATAGCCCCCATATAACGGTACCTCCCTATATTCGGTATTTTGATAATTTTGCCACATATTTTCGCGGATTGGTCTTAAAATTGGTATTTGTAGGTCATAATGGGTTCTAGCTCCGTTGGCGAAACATTGTATGTATAGGTCCACGATTTGGTATAGCCCCCATATAACGATACCTCCCAATATTCGACATTTTAATGGTTGTTTTTCAAATTTCTTCTAATGTTTCCTTTACCCTAAGGTGGAGGGTATTAAAAGTCGAACTTTATGTTTTTTTTACTTGTTTTTTAATTTTATTGAAATGTCGGAAAAAGCATAAAATTATAGAATAAGCATATAATTATAGAATAACTGTTGGCACGAATTATGACCTTCAAACGGCCAATAAAACCGTCACACGCTGACCGAATGTTGCTCTGCGGTATTTTGGCCCATTCCCAGCGAAGCGCTTGCTTGAGGGGATCGACACTTTGGTATTTTTAGTGCCAACCTTGCTTTCCAGACACAATAGTCCAACGGCTTGGTATAAGGATATTTTGGTGGCCATTGTGCGCTGAAAATGAAGCGAGGAACTTCATTTTGTAACCATTCTTGTGTGGCGCGTGCTGTTGCTGAGTCCTGTTGGAATGTTCAAGGTCTCCTGCTAAAATGTTTGCGTCCCCAAGGCTTTAATACACCCTCCAGAATATTTTCGCCATATTTTCAGCTGACCTCTTTGGCAAGAAAACATGATCATTTTGTTTGTTTACAAACTGTTGGACAACGCATGTTTTTTTGTTGGAGAAAACCAAATTCGGCTGTTCACCACTTTCGTCCAAGTGAAGCAACTCTTTAGCTATTTTAAGTCAATTTTCTTTCTGTTGCGGTGTAAGTTTTTGCACATTTTTGAATTTCAATGGCTCATTTTCAGTATTTGCGATTGGAATATTGCGATATGTTCAGCTCACGAACCATTTTTCGGCCACTGCGACGGGGGTTTCGATCAAAGAGTTTCTTTTCGAACCATTTCTGCTGATGTTGCTGTTTTCTTCCGTTCACTTCCTTGACGTCGGACTACGCTACCAGTATCACGGTAACGAGCTGGTACGAGACACAGAAGAAGACGACAGCCAAATATAGAGAAATCACACTATCACGCTTGAATTCCATCACGAATAACCTTTTTTCTGGAAAATTTTCACCAAAACGCTTGTAAGCAATATAATGAGCTGTCATTGGAATAATTTTTACAGTTGTTGGACGAGTGGCTTAGAAATTACAGCAGTCTGAAATTGGTTGCAGTTTTTTCATCTCATCCTGTATGGATCTTCCTATCTCGCCGAACTGAGTCGATCTAGCTTTGTATGTCCGTCTGTCCATGTTTATATGTAATCACTCTAAAGGTCGCAATTATGGCCCGATCTTCACGAAATTTAGAATTGAGGTGGGGCTAGAGCCAGAATAGAAGCCTATTGCTTTTGGAGCTGATGGCATAATATTTAGGGAATGAAAAATTTCCTGATGTTGCAGTTGCTCTACAGGTCGCTATTATAGACCAATCGAAGCGGAAGTTAGCATGAAGCTTAGGGCTGGGCAGAAGCCTTCCAAGTTTGATGGGCATCGGGTGATATTTAGTGGGTAAAAATAGACCATAACATTTGTGTTACATAAAAGTCAAATTTTCCATTAGGCCGCGAATATTTTTAATCCCCAAGAAATCCCAAAAAGACGAAGAGGTCAATTCCGACCGTTACGTAGATGTCGATAGTAAATATATCGGATATATATAGCGAAATATATACAATGTATATATACAAAGGAAGGGGATATGCTAGAAGTCGTATATCTCAAGAATGGCGGGACCGATTTGGATAAATTTTGTCAATTCAGAATGCCCTCTTGGCATAAAAGTATAAAATTTAAAAAAATTACATAAAAAGGTGTTATGGTGATGTTAATATTGATTTTTTTTTTAATTTTTTTTTTATTTTTTCATATTTTTTATCGCATGCGATTTTTTTTTCAATTTGACTTATAATACTGATGCGTATATTTTGTAATATTTTTTCACCTTACAACACAAGTTGGGATTATTATGGACAGATTGCAATTATCGTACAATTCCCGCGAAAATTTTCAAAAGGGGTGGGTTAGGCTCAGAAGGGCTAGGTCTATTGTTTTCAAAGATGTCCGTAATATATTTAGGGGTTGGAATGTATCAACAACTAAAAATGTCCCTGATTTTGCTGCCGTTATAAACGCCACAAATAGGACACGAAATCTTGCATAAAATTAAAGTTTAGGATAGCGGGTAGAATGGACCACTACTTTTTTGTGAAGAAATATCAACATTTCCATTCTTATAGGCAAAATCCAAAATACACAAAAGGCCAACTTCTGGCTTTTTTTGCAGATTTCGTTAACGAATATAGCCAAATATCGTAGACAAGCAAATCATATAGATGAGTCTAAATTTGGAGATACAGAGGGGCATCTTGCATTTGGAGATGATCGCAAAATATTTAGGGGTTCAAGTGAATTGAAAACAGTTCCTGATCACACAATTGAAACCAATCGACACGGTGTTTTGCATGCGATGAGAGTTAAGGACAGCGAAGAGGTCTAGCATTTTGGATAAAATTTGAGCTGTAAAATGGACCACAACAACTAACAACACGACGGAGTGCTTAAATATTGGGCAGTGCTCTATGACATAATTTCTAAAGCGAAATTTTCCAAAATGATTATGGACATAAGGGGGTTCTAACATATTGTAGTGTTGTAGGATATCACATGGCCGGCAAAATTTCTCATTAAGTATGTAATTTGTTAATAATCTTATTAATTTTGTATTAACCGTATTCACTAATCAAACTTTAAATTTATTGAGTCCTGTATGAGGACTTGTCATATTGGAAAGATAACTGAATAGTGTATTTTTATACCCTCCACCTTGGAAACGAGGGTATATTAACTTTGTCATTCCGTTTGTAACATCCTTAAATATTCGTCTTAGACCCCATAAAGTATATATATTCATAATCAGCATAAAACTCTAAGTCGATTTAACTATGTCCGTCTGTCTGTCTGTTGAAATCACGATACAGCCCACATTATTTGACGTAGAGCGCCAAAATGTAGCAGAGCTATTTGCATTGTGTCTAGGATGGTTGGTATTGAAAATGAGATATATCGGTTCACGTTCTGGTATAGCCCTCATATAACGGTACCTCCCGATATTCGGTATTTTGATGATTTATGTCACATTTTTTCACTGATTTGTTTGAAAATTGGTATTTGTAGGTCATAACGGGCCCCCGTGCGTGTGGCAATACATGGCATGTATAGGTCCACGTTTTGGTATAGCCCCCATATAAAGGTACCTCCCGATATTCGACATTTTGATTATTTTTGCCATATTTTTTCACGGATTTGTCAAAAAATTGGTATTTGTGGGTCATAATGGGTCCTAGTTCTTGTGGCGAAACATTGTATGTATAGGACCACGTTTTGGTATAGTCCCCATATAATGGTACCTCCCGATATTCGGTAATTTGTTGATT